GAGTTGCGAAGAAATGATAATCGTGTTTGCTTTGGAGTTGCGAATTATGATATCGCGATTGTTTCTTGCAAGATTGATTGTTAATTTTCATAGTTGTCTTATTTCAAATTATGTTTAATTATTTAAATTGTCTTATTTTAAATTACATGATAGAATCATTGCTTTTAATTAATTCTAGAATGTTAGAACATTCAAAGTAGTTTTTTTTCTTCGTACAACAATTTTTGTATTGTTGATAATAATTTTGATTGAATTTCATCGCGATTTTCAATTACTTTTACCCTTAGTGTTGCGATATTGTTCCTTCGCGATTTCCAGTTAGTTTTCCTCTAGTGTTGCGATAATGAATGATCGCGTATCTTTTCTGAAGTAGCGTTGCGTTTACGAAATGCCCAAATTCTTCCACTGGATTTGTGGAAGGCTGTTTCTGCTCTTGAATCACCTAATACAGCTGCACAGAGGTTGTCGTTCATCAGCAACCTCCAGCATGATTGCATTGGATGCAATTAGTGTTGCGTATTTCTAAATATGAGTGCATGTACGCAACGCTATCAATTTATGCATTTTTCGCGAGTTTTAAACATGACGAAGCTTGCGTTTGATCTTGAAAATTTTCTCTTTCACAGTTAATGCTAGTGAATTAGTGTTGCAAAACAAGATACGGTTTGTTCCTCGTATTTATGTCGAATGTAGATTTGACAATAGCTCTTCTGGCTATTATATCGCGATTTCTTTTTCAGTGGCCCTTCTGACTTATTGTTTTGTATTGTCTTTGTCAGTAGCCTTTCCGCTTACTGTGTTAGATTTTTTTTTCAGCACCCCTTACCACTGTATTTATTATTGAAAATAAAAAATATATATTTTATTAGCTATAACTTTGTACGTCTGTGATTGAAATTTTTTGCATCAAATTGGTAATGTAGGGAATGATAAGGTTGACAATCGACATAGTAGGATACGTTGTGCTGGTAAAGTCGATAAATGATTATAGTTTTAATTTCAATCACTAATAGCGTTGCCATCTTATTCTTTGTGACATTGGATGCCTTCGTTCTTAGAACTAAGATTTCAGAAAATAATAATAAAACGAATAATAAAACGTATTTATTTCGATTCATCGAATAATTATATTATTCATCGAATAATAATAAAACGTATTTATTTCGATAGTTTAGTGGGATAAATCCGTCATGATTTCAAAAATCGATGTCTACGAATTTTCAATCTAATTGGCATGTCATTTAATGTTAAAGAACTTGCGTTCTTAATAATTTTTGACTTATTAACAATTAATTGACGGGTTTAATATCAACAAAGGTATATATTTTATTGCCTTCTTTATTATCATACGCTTTCGTTGTTATAATTATGAATAGAGCAAGATTACACAAGTACTCTACAAGTTAGTTTTGATAAGAAATAAGGGCGTAAAACGATCGCTGTCTTTCCATTTTCCTGAAAAACTGGAAGACATAGAAGTGTATCGAAATTACTATCGGTTAATCGGTAATACAACGTACGAAATGTACAAAGCAGACACCATTCATCTGGGGCTCAGTTTTATCTACCATCTTACGACTACGTGTCTGACGTGTATCTTTTCTTTTATGGTTAATATTATAATTCCAACGTTTAACAGAGAACTCGTTTACATCGCGACTTCGTCGTTTGCAAACTGTAAACACTGAGGTCGCACTGCAAATGGTTTAAGGCGATTTAAGTACTATTAACTGTTTTGGCACTTAGATTTACCATTGCACTAATCAATTAAATGGTACCGCTTATTTTCTCAATAGGGAAATGCATCTC